TATATGTATCTGTATATGTATATATATATATATATATATATATCTGTCAGAAACTGTTTTTTGTCACTCGATTTTGACATCCTTCCAACACCGAAGGTTTTTTTTTCAAGGATTCCGGCATGCGCGCGCGACGACGCGCGCGTATGCACTTCGTTCCATTTTTTGCAGAAGGTTTTTGAACACGTGTGATTTTTGATGAACTAGTGTGCGCGCATCGTTTCTTTGCAAGTGAACCGAATCGGGGCCGCTACCGGCTTGGCTGCGATAGTATAAGTTCACAGGTCGGATGGACATTGGGTCAGAATCATTTTTGTTTTGCATCGGTTCCCGGGGGGTCGATACGTCAAGGGGGGGAGGGTGATAGAACCTATGTCCTTTTTAGAAAGGAGAGGGTATGCGATGCACTATGTAATACAATCTGTGTGTGGTGCAATGCTTGTGATGCGGCGACGGCGACTGGCGGCGACGGGCGGGGATGGCGGCGACGGGCGGCGACGGCGACGGGCGGGGATGGCGGCGATTTTGCGGCGATGGTCCCGAGGCGACGGCGACGGGCGGCGACTGGCGGCACGGTCGGCGACGGGCGGGGATGGCGGCGACGGGCGGCGACGGCGACGGGCGGCGACGGGCGGCGACGGGCGGCACGGCGGCGATTTTGCGGGGAGGGTCCCGAGATGGTTAACGCAAGGAAGAACCCCTCAGTGCAAACACTTGTTTGGGGAACCATACCACCCATCAAGGCACGACAGGCCGTCCAAAAGTAGACCAGACTTTGCCCACAAGTGAACCAACATATCCATCACAGCAAACTGGGCCGCCCGACAGTGGACCCGACTCCGCCCAAACATAAATCGGGTACTGGAGCATATACGTTACCAGTGGCGGGCTGTTTTTCAATCCCAGGATTTTTTTAGGGTCGGGGGCGACGTCGGGGTGGTGTGGTGTATATTTGTTTCCACGTTTTCCCGTGGGAACAACGAAAATTGTATACACCAGGATCCCGTATACACCTGGATCCGCCTTCCTGTGCGAGTTCCAGTGCGGGGCCGGACAAAACGTCGGTGTATAGAGTTCGGTTCCTTAATACAGCAGACCACCAATCGCAGCAGGCTCGACCTCTCAAGCGTAGTGCAGACCCCACCCAAGAGTAAACCAGACCACCCGCCAAAACACGCCTGACGACCCAAGAGTAGACCCCCCCCCCGCGCATTTGTAAACCAGACCGCCCATTGCATCAAGTTGGGCCTCCCGAAAATTAGCCCGACCCCGCCCAACACTAACACATGTCACTTGTCAAAGCAACGTAGAGTAGACCGCCCCAAGGTATACCAGATTTTTCCCAATAGTAAACCAGGCCACGTGTCAAAGCAAGGCAGATCACCCAACAGTGGACCCGACCCCACCCACGAGTAGATCATACCACCTGTCAAGACAAGCCATACCACCCAGCAGCGCAAGCCAGGCCCCGCCCAAACGTGCCAGTCCGCTCATCACAGCTAGCCTGGCTCCAGCAAGATACTTCGAAACAGCCGTGTCCGTCCGCGATTAACGGGGCCGCCCGACACAGTTGATCGCCTCCGGGGCCAGGTCTTGGCAAAGAGGCGCGCGCGCGCCTCTTCTTCTATTCGCGCGCATGGCGCCGCAATGGAACGGCGTACTTGCTGAAATGAGGACCGCATTCTCCTCAGTGCGGGTTCTTAGGTTTTGCGTTTGCGGCCTCGGGGAGCAGTCTCTGGACACCGCGACCGTCGCTCAAACGGTTCAGAATGTTACAGCTGCCCTTTAAGGGAAGTGACCAGGACCTCAAGGGACTCCGCATTCGAAACAGCAGGCGACTCCTTCTTCTTTTTCTTCTTATTATTATCATTACTGCTACTATCATTAATTTTGTTATAAACAATAGTTTGTAGTATAATTAGTGTGACTGCCATTTTTATCATTATGATTAATACTCTCAAACTTAATAATATACTTGTCCTTATTGTAGTATAAGTAATTTCAGATATTTGAATCTTATCATTCGCTCTATTTCTTTTAATCCCTATAATTCGTAGTAGTTCGTATTATAGTTCATTGGTTGGTGGGCCAGCCAGCAGGTCCCTACTAATGTGATTTTGGTGCGGGGAGTGCCCCACTCGAAGACAACCGTTTGAGAATGTTCAGTCGTGCCAGGACATAATTTCTGGGACGTCGACTCCGCGAATCAACGTGATTGTTGCGCCCTGAAAGTCTTAAATTGTGCCAGGGGCCCATTCGTTGGATTTCAACACCAGGAATGAACGTGCATGTTGCGTCCTGACAACCCTACATCATGCCAGGGCACCGTTTCTGGGACGTCAGCCGGCACGTCTTTGAGCCTGTTGCAGTCTGTTAAGAGGAGTGTGCGCGACGCCCTGCCGAGAGCCACATTTTGGAAGACAGCAGCCCTCCGTCCGTGAGACTATTGCAAACTTTTACAACGAATGCGTGCGCAGTGCTAGGTCGAGAACCACAATCTGAGGACGACCCGCCCTCCATCCTTGAAGCTGGTGCAAACTTCGAACGCTAGTGTACGCGGTGCCACGTCGAGGCCCGCATTTTGGACGACAGCCGCCCTGAATCCTTGAGGCTAGTGCAGGCTTTTGCAACGATTGCGTGCCCAGCGCTAAGGCGAAAACCACATTTTGAAAACAACCCGCCTTCAATTTTTGAACCTGATGCAAACTTCAAACACTAGTATGCGCGATGCTAAGTCGAGGGGCACATTTTGGAGAACAACCGCCCTGAAGAACCCACCACCCGTGAAATTCTTATAACGTCATGAGACGGCAGTGTGCGGCTCGGAGGCGACATCCACACGCCGCCCATCTTTAAAATACTTGAAAAGTTTAACAACGAATGTGTGCGGCGCTGGGGCGAGAGCCACATGTTGAAAAGGAACAGGCAGCCCTCCATCCGTGAAGCTCTTGCACAGTTTTAAGGCGATGTTGCGCGTCGCTGGGGCGAGAACCACATTTTTTAATAGGAGCCGTCCTCCATCGGGAACTTCTCGCACACTTCGAAAGCGAATGTGCGCATCGTTTAGGCGAGAACCACGTTTTTAAAAAGGATCGCCCGCCGCCAGCTAAACTCTTGCAAACTCTTAAGACGAATGTGTGCGGGGCTAAGGGGAGAGCCAACGTTTGAAAACTACCCGCCCTCCATCCGTGAACCTTTTGCTCACTTTTAAAAGCGAATGTGCGCGGGCTTGAGGCGAGAATCAAATTTTGAAAAGGAGCCATCTTCCATCCGTGAAGCTCTTGCGCAGTTTTCAGGCGGATGTGCGCTGTGCTTTGGCGAACGTCACATTTTGAAAAAGGAACCGTCCATCATCCGTGAAGCTCTTGCACACTTTTTAAAGGCGAATGCACGCGCCATTAAGGCGAATGCCACATTTTGGAAATAAGGCCCCGCCCTCCATCCGTGAACCTGTTGCAAGTCTTACGCTTCAGAATCAGAAATGGTGAGGAAGGCTGAGGCGAAACGCCTGTGCCGCCCTACCGATATGTCTCGGGGTGCGACAGGGAGGTTTTTTTTGAAGGAGGATGAGGTGGACGAGGAGGAGGAGGAAGAGGAGGAGGAGGAGGAGGACTGCCAAATGCGCTATAGGCTTTCAGGGCACCTGAACCCATCCGCGAAGATGAGACGGCCATCAGAGTTCCTAGTTCGGGTGGCTGCAGTATGCCACAACCCACTACCCAAAGCAGCCTGCCCTTACAGGACAGCTATGTTGCAAAGGTCACTTGGGGGCCTCATCCTTGCAGCCGCGCTTATGGTGGAACCGCATTCTTTGAGTCAAGTGGTTATCGGGAATCTCAGGGCATCAGGGGATCCAATGATATCAGTGGGCGAGGTGGTCACCAAGCTGGTATGTCCGCCACTGTTCTTGACCGATCCCCGACTTGGTTTCGGCCATACTTCGACAGAGCCGCTGGATGGGCTGCTCAGGTGCGCGGGATAGGGTGCGTTTACATCACGGAGATTGGTTCGGAAGTTCACCCCGCTTGGAACCCGAGTTGAGACAGAGGGACGCTGTCCCACGGACGTGGCTAGAATTCCAAGAACGGCCCTGGGCTCGGGCCCCCAGAAGCGGAAGTCAGACGGTCAGGAAAGCTTGGTAGGGCCTCCCGCCTCGGTCAGGCTCGCAGGACAGCCCACATGCCATCCTGTCGGCCACGCGGCCGGGAACAGAAATGAAAAACATGTGCCCCACCCGCCCTAGGAGCGGAATTTTTCAGCCCCGACCCCTGGACAGACCCAGTCGTTCTGGCATCGACTACTCCCTCCAGGACCGTTTCCCCTGGGGAGGCGCCCTCCGACCACACTCCGAGCCCGCACCTCACCGAACGAGTGGCGGAGGAGCTCATGGGAGTTTTTTAGCAAAGATGATGTCCTGCGACCGTGGCCGAAGACCGGGGGCCAAATCCTGCCCACCCCCACCCGGCAGGCTGCAGCGGGCTGGCGGGGGTGGGCGGCATTGGGGGTCTTGAGGGTGTCGCGGAATTCCCCCCAGAGGGCCGATCAGGGCTTATGCTTGCAATCCAAAGAGTGTGCGATATCGAATGTAAGAGCGCGATCGGAATGGACCCCAAGTGTGAACCGGTCGACTGACTCCGCAACGGGCGATGGATCGGACGACAGTTGTTTTCCACTGGCGGACTCACTGCGTGCTAGGGTGGAAAATGAGTGGAGACGGGGAGACGCCCGTCTAGGCAATCAACCGGGCCAATTTTCGACGGAGGGCCTCATGTTCTTGAGGGATGTTCTTCTGGCCGGGGTCCGACTGTGCCGCACCTGGGGAGGGGGATGCCTGGAACCCGAGGACGTCACTCCCTGGTTCGTAGATCACCAGATGCAGTATGGCCCCTTCTACGAAAACCGCATTACCACATCACTGCTCCTCCGTTCTCCTCAGAACTTCTCGTCCGTACACGGCGTGAGCCTAATCCTCGTCGTGTTCGCCCTCCACCGTATCCATGTAGGCTCGAGGGAGTTCGATTGAACTTCGATCGAGCGACCATGCGTGGTGCTGCATACTAACACTTTGTGTGCTTCTCTATATTGCTCCGATGCACTTGGATGATGGGGACAGGTGCGACGGCCACGATCAATCTTGGAAACCTCATCAGCCTCATCGCTTCCGTTGCCTGCGTGCTAGCCGCAAATGGCGATTTCACGCGCAACATTGAAGCAGAACTCGACTCGCGTCTGATGCAGGTCGCTCATGTGAGGCCAAAGCATCGGATACAGTGGACGTACATCACACTCCCCATTGGGGCAGACTGTTCTGGTGGCGCAGAAATATCCTCGTTGGCAGAATGCGAGCACGCGGTGAGCTCGCTCGACATGGTTTTTTACATATCGAATTCGGTAAATCTGAACACGTCGCCATATGGATGCTACTACGTCTCTGGGGCCACCCCACAAATCAGTTTCAACACTTGCTCAGACTGCGGACCTTCGTCAACTAATGCGCAAGCAGTCTGCAGAGGGGTAGCGACTCCGGCGCCCACGGCTGCCTCGTGGGTGGCGAACGCGTGGGAGTACATGCAGCTTGACTTTGGGTTAGGTTGTCCTTCTTCTCCAGAAGTAACGTCGTTGGAAGAGTGTGAATATGCAGTAACATCGCTTGGGATCTTCTACATCGCGTCGACCGCGGTTGATTTGAACACAATGCCACACGGATGTTATTTCACACCGGGGGCCTCGCCACTAATCCGTTTCAATACTTGCTCCAGTTGCGGGTTACCGACAACCGCCTCGCAAGCGATCTGCAGACGTAGTTCTACCCTGCAGCCCACGCTGGCGCCGACTTCACCACCCACGCCAGCACCGACTGCGGCGCCCACGCCAGCACCGACTGCGGTGTCCACGCCAGCGCCGACTGCGCCGTGGGTGCCGAACGCGTTGGGGTACATTGAAAATCCTATTGGGTCAGATTGTGCTGATGGCTCAGAAGTAACATCGTTGGCGGAGTGTGAGCATGCCGCTACTTCGCTTCCAATTTTCTTCATCGTGTCGAGTTCGGTTGATCTGGATACAATGCCACATGGATGTTACTACACACTTGGAGCCACCCCGTCAGTCTTTTTCAACACATGCTCCGACTGCGGACCTCCGTCGGCGACTGCACAAGCGATCTGCAGAATTGTGGCGACACCAGTGCCCACGACGGCGACGTGGGTTGCGAACGGGTGGGAGTACATGCAGCTCGACATTGGGTTAGAATGTCCATCAGGTCCAGGAATAACGTCCTTGGAAGAGTGCGAGTATGCGGTAACATCGCTCGAGATCTTCTACACCACCTCGAGCTCGGTCGACTCGCACAGTGTACCTATCGGATGTTACTACACACCTGGAGCCACCCCCGTCGTCTTCTTCAACATGCGCTCCGACTGGGAGCTTGCCACGCTGATGCCGATTGGCTCACTGATCCGACTGGGGGAGGTTCCATGGGCGACGAAGAGACACCCACAACCGCTGGGCTGTGGGAGCCGCCCCTGGCGCCCCCTGGCCGACCTCGACCCCCTCTCGGCGGTGATGCCCTGCGCGCGGCATTCGAGAGCGGGCGCCGCGCGCCGGTCATCACCGCTGGGGGTCGGGGCCGTCCCTCGGAGAACGCCTGGGGGCGTTTCCTCAGCCCAGTGGTTGTGGTTGTCTCGTCTTCGCTCCTGAGGTTGGCAGCAATCTTTTTTCTCCAGCCGCCTCGCGCGCCATCTGCAGATCGGCGCCTACCCCGCAGCCCACGCCGTCGCCGACCGCGGCACCCACGGCGGCGCCGACCCCGCCGCCCACGCCGCCGCCCACGCCAGCGCCGTGGGTGTCGAACGCGTGGGAGTACATGCAGCTCGATGCTGGGCTGGAGTGTCCTGGCCCAGGATCGAGGGGTCAACGTCGGGGGAGGAAAGGTATCGATACCGCTGCTCGTCCTGGAGAAGTCCTCGTCGCCACGGCAGGATTCTCCTCGAAGTGCAGTCAGAACGTGCCCTGGGGGAGGTCTGGGTAGTAGCGCCATTGGTCCCTTTCTATGCCACCCCACAAACGATGGCACAGACAGAACATGTGGGAGGTCCGCGCGGATCGCCGCTGGACTCCGTGCGCGTAAATTTTGAGAGGTCCGCGCGGACGTGGATCGGCGCGGGACTCCCTAGGCTCCGCCCGCCAGGGAGAGGTTGTGGGGAGCAGGAGCCCAGCGCCGACCCAAGACATCCGCGTGGATCCCCGAACTTTGACGGGTATGCATGTGTTGTGGTCGCTTGCAGGAGTAACCTCGCTTGAAGAGTGCGAGTACGCCGCGACCTCGCTCTCGATCTATTACTCTAGCTCGAGCGTGGTGGACCTGAACACGGTGCCGCACGGATGCTACCACACGCCCGGGGGCACGCCGGTGATCTTCTTCAACTCCTGCTCCAGCTGCGGGCCTTCGCCCACTGTTTCACAAGCGATCTGCAGACGGGTGCCGACTCCTTCTCCTCCTCCTCTTCCTCCTCCTCCTCCTCCTTCTCCTCCTCAACCCACGCCGGTGCCGACTCCGCAGCCCACGTCAGTGCCGACTCCGCAGCCCACGCCGCCGCCCACTCCGGCACCCACGCCGGCGCCGAGTGCGGCGGCCACAGCCGCGCCAGGGGTCGTGCTGGTGAGTCAGGCAGCGGCTGGTGCACAGGAGCTGTTGGAGGCGGGGATTTATTCATAACCACCGTCTAGAGGATCGATTTCCGCGGACCTCCGAAGGCGGTAAATATGGATTCATTTTGGCCTCCGCGGGCCAAAATATATCCATATTCGCCGCCCGCTGGGTCCCACGGACGTCAGTTCCCAGGCGGTGGATAAGGACGAACTCCCGCCTCTTAAGCCGGTGGATACACAAATATAAACATGAGCGTGAGGGTGCTGGCCGCAGCTTACGTTGATATCTGGTATATCGGGGGTTCTGTGGTCAACTTTTTGGGGGAGCGCGCTAATTTCGGCCGACGTCGAATATGCATCCTACATGCACATTGATACTGATGTGCCCTTCCCTAGTTTCTCGCCTTACTTGCTCTCCTCGGTTGGGCCCTCGTCGCCACGGCTGGAACGCGCTCTGTGCTGGAGGTCCAGGGAGCAGTACGAAATCCTTTCGCATCCCCAAGGAATTGTTCGTGAATTCCGAGGTTGAGTTTAGAGTAGGGGACGCCGTCGTGATCACGGGCGGCGGCAATTCAGAAACACATACAATCGCAAGTTTCGGATCGATAGTCATGGACGCACCATTGAAGCACTCGTATCCGGCGGGTTCCAGTGTCATGAAGGTGATGCCTCAGATTGCGCAGTCCATCACGGCGCAGACGGTGAAGGCCACTGGCGATCCGCATTTGCAAAACATTCACGGGCAGCATTTTGATTTAATGAAGCCTGGGAAGCACGTTCTGATCCACATCCCTAGACGGGCGCCGATTGGAAACATATTGCTTCAGCTCAAGGGCGACGTTCAGCAGATGGGTGGACCATGTGAGATGTACTTCCAGGAGCTGAATATAACAGGCAAGTGGGCGGATGAGAAGCGAAGTGGAGGATTCAAGTTCCACGCTGGCGCACGCCGTCGTAAGAGAGATTCCAAATGGCTACGTCTTGGAAAGGTTGCCATAAAGGTCGTGCACGGACGCACAAACAAAGGGGCCCGGTATTTGAATTTCTACGTCAAGCATCTTTCTAAGGTTGGTTTTGTGGTCGGTGGGCTCCTGGGGGAGGACGACCATACGAACGAAGCATCGCGTTCGAGCTCATGTCGCCATCGCGTTGCTCTCTGACACGGTCACGAGTTATGCGTAGTGCGCGCGTTTTACAGCTCTGTTTTCCCTGGTCGTTTCGCCGCGTACGTAGCCCGATTCGCAACGTACTGGTACTGTCGTTGTCTTGTTCTGACAGAGAAACACAGCCATGCGCAACCCCAGGGTGGGAGTTGGTCGGGAGAACAGGGAAAGGAGGGTAAGCTGGAGTGGGAGGAGGAACTGGAAGTCGAGGCAAGTCGAGACCACTGGCAGTTGGGCGACTCTACACGTCATTGTCAAAATGACGTGTTGCTCGCGTGGCCGAGCGACGTGTCGCTCGCTGGATGCACTCTGGCGCGCAGAAGGAGGCGAGTCTGAGGGACCACTACCCGATAAAGCCCTGTGGGCCCTCGTCGGCACGCGGCCGAGCCCCCGAAGATGTAGGGCGCTCCAGGCAGGGCCACGCCCTGGAGTGATCCAAGAGGTTGGCTGCGGTCTCGTCCCCGGCGGACGCCGGCGGAAGGCCGGCCGAGGCCATGCGGGAGCAGAGCCAGACTGCCTCGGGTCATGACGAAGTCGCGACGGAGGTTTCTGGCCGTTTCGGGCTCCGTGGGCCCTCGACGGGCCTCGCGGGGCGTCGGGGCCGTCAAAAGCTGCTCGGAATGAAGAGCCGGTCCTGTCCAGACCTCTGAGGGTCGCGCCCAGACCTCTGGGGGTCTGTGGAGCGAGGGCGGCCCCGCAGATGGAAGCCGGCGGAAGGCTGGCACAGGCCGGCGGATGCAGGCTCTGGTTCAGGAGGGTAAGAAACACACAGAGCCAGAAAATATTGGAAAATATGGGAAGTGGTGGGGAAGACAAAAACGGAGAAAATATGAGACAATATGGGGAATCCTTTTATTTTTGTGTATTTATTTGTGTGTCCCAGGGCCCCTTCACTGGTGCGAGCGGAATTCGAGTTCGATCTCAGAGGCTTGAGCAGCACCTGCGGCGGAGCGTGCTTAGAAGGGTGACGAGGACGAAACAGCCGACAGGTCTGAGGGACGGCCCGACGTTTGCGCCGCGCGGCGACGGAGAGGGAGACAGGGAACGAGAAGCAAGCAGACGACGGCGAAGGCGCAGGCGGGAGGCTAGGGCCAGCGGGCTGAAACAGGCGGGTGGGCAGGTGGGCAGGGCCGGCGGTTCGATCTCGGCAGCTGCTGCGTGGAACTTCGAAGGCCCAAGCTTGCCCTTGCGCCTCTCAAGCCCGCCGATGTCCCCGAGAGATTCATTCTTTTTGGGGGAGCAGGGTTTTCCAGGATGCGCCATGCGGAATGCGGCATCTTCCGGTTAGCTGCAGTACGGCTCATTCCTCTCCGAGAGTCTCGGGTTAGGGTGTGGAAGTCGTTTGCCAGGCCAATCATACCTCTGTGCGTTATTGTCGCGTTTGTGGACGCAGCCGTTCCCCCCCACTCTCTCACTCATATCGCGTTCAGCCCACTTGCTGATTAGAAGCTTCTTGGCTGCGCAAAAGATGGGCGGTGCACTCTCTGCCTGCTCTGGCCCGTCTTCGCAGGCTCGCAAGTCCACTGATTTGTTCCCAGCCCTCCTGTGCTGGGTTCTAGTCTTTCTGAATAGAGCACTGCTCGCGCGTCTCCCTCCCCACTCCCTCCTCCGCCTACCTCTTCCTGCATCTGTCCTCTTGCTTCTTGTGTTTCCCACTGGGGTGCTGCGGTCTGCGCCACTGTCGCAACTTTCGCGGGTTCCTGGGAGGCACAGCAGGATGCAGGGCAGCGCAGATCACTTCGAGACCTCGCGGCTCCCTCGGGGGCTGCGAAATGGCAGCTGTCGCAATTGTCGTGGGCTCTTGGGTGGCACGGCGGAGTCCAGGGCAGCGCAGATCACTTGGAGACCTCGCGGCTCCCTCGGAGGCCGCGAACTGCGCAGCAGTCGCAATTTTCGGGGGCTCTTGGGAGGCACAGCGGAGTGCAGGGCGCCCACATTGCGCGTGCCCGCATGGCGCGTGGCGCCGTCCCGTTATTTAGCTCGCGGCGCTGTTACATCACATGACGCAGAGCGCTGCTTGTGTTCTTTCGTATGGGCGTTCATATGAATCATCGCCTCGCGTGGAGAAGGGGCTGGGTACGTCTCGTTTTTTGTTGTTGTGTGATAGCATTATGTGCAACATTCGGGATATCTAGCTGGCTTGCTGCTGGTACCGACGAGGGCGGCCTGTCATTGCGAACATGTTTGTCGGCACGCTTTTAATTTGCCAGAGCATGTGGCCCTCCCGTACTTCGTTGATATTGTGGCCTCTTGGGCCGTCTGGAGGCCATCTTTGGCGCCTTGGGGCGAATTTGGGGCGACCCGGGGGCCTCTTGGCCTCTGGGGGCCCTCTCGGCCCATCTGGGGCCCCTCTTGGTTTCGGAATAGCCTCACGAACCGAATAAAGAACGTCCAGGATAGCTTGGGATATTCTGCAACCAGAGCCTTGGGCCCTTTAAACGCATGTGTAATCTCGTGGCCTTCGGCCCATCCCGCCACCGTGCCAGTGTTGAGGGTCAGAGTCCTAACGGATGCTTCTTGGGGTCTCTTCGGAGTGCTCTCGGCGGCCTCTGGGGGGCAGTTTTGAGGCCTCTTGGGAGCCTCTCGGGGGCCTCTCTGGTGCCTCCTGGGGCTTCCTGGGGGCTTCTAGGGGGCCTCTTGGGGCTTCTTCGGGCTTTCCTGGGGTCCTCTGGGGGCGTCCTTGGGGCGTCTTCGGGCGGCACGCTCGGAATTCCCTTGCGTCAGGGGGTTCTCTCAGTTCAGATCTCTTAGATGGTTGTTGGGGTCTGTGGGGACCCCGCTGTGGGACCGCTCGGAGATACTTCGGAGGGCTCTTGGAGCCTCATGGGGGCCGTTTGAAGTCCTCATGGGGTTTCTGCTGGGCCTCTTGGGGCATCTTGCCTGGGTTGTGGGTCGTGGGTGAGAGTGGGGCTTATCCTGCGCCTCATGGGGGGCTTTTGCCTGGGTCGTGGGTGCGAGTTCTTGTAGGTGCTTCTTAGAGTAGTCTCGGAGGGCTCTCGGGGCTTCGGGGGGCAGTTTTAAAGCCCTTTTGGAGCTTCTCGGGGGCCTCTTTGAGGCCTCGTGGAGCTTGCCTGGGTTGCGGGTCGTGGGTGAGAGTGGGGCTTATTCTGAGCATCCTGGGGGCCTTTTGCTTGGGTCGTGCGTCATGGGTGTGCGTTCTCATGGATACTTCTGGGGGTCGTTTTGGAGTGCTCTCGGGGGCTTCTGGGGGGCAGTTTTGACGCCCCTTGGGAGCTTCTTGGGGGCCTCTTTGAGGCCTCGTGGAGCTTCGGGGGGGCCTCCTGGGGGCCTTTTTTGTGCCCTCTTCTGGCTTTCTTGGGGGCCTCTGGGGGCGTCCTTGGGGCTTCTTGGGGCCGCACGCTCGAAATGCCAGTGGGTGTTTCCCCACTGGAGCCTCCCTTGGGGGTGTCTTGGGCCCTCTTGGGCTCTCTTGGGGCCGCCTTAGGCTTGCCTGGAGCTCCTTTTGGAGCCGTCTTGGGACGATATTTGGGGCCTTATGCTGCGATTTTGGGAGTCTCCTGGACCTTCTCGGACGCCGTGAAAGCGTAGCAGGCGAATGTGCCGAACATGTCAGTTTCCTCAGGGACAAGGGCGATTTGTTGCTTACTGGGGCCTCCTTGTGGATGCTCTTGAGGACCTCTTGAGGCGTCTTGTGGGCCCCTTGGGCCATCTTGGGGCTATATCGGGTCGTCTTTAAGCTGTCTTGGACCGCTCTGGGGATCTGTGTAGCCATCTAAGGCGGCTCTGGAAATGTTCTCGAGGGTTCGGGAGGTCGTCAGAGGCTGGCTGGGCAGCTGCCAGGAGCTCCCAGGAGCAGCTGGGAAACTGTGGGTCCAGACCCTTAAGACCCTTTCAGCCCGTCTACCTCAGAGGGCTGCAGGGCTGCATGAGCCTTGGGGCGCTCAACTACGTGCTGAAGGCACGGTGGCGGATAATTGGTGTATATATATATATATATATCGAGAGAGAGAGAGAGAGAGAACTTGAAGTGACCTGCTATTACTCCACTTCATGCCTCGAGGCACGGTGGTAGATCTGTATAGAAGGTGCTACCTTTTCAGAAGAGGCTCTCGCCGGATTCCTCCTCAGATGTCAGGACCCACAACCTGCAGCATGCCCATCATCTGCATGGGTCCAGGGCGGTTCGGGCTCTCGTGTCGCATGTTCTTGAGTTCGCTGTTGCTATAGCTGTGTATGTATGTATGTATATATATACATAGACGCAAGGTGCACATGGTGGTTCCTTCTCAAAATCGGCGTCTTTCAGGAGCGGCATGCCCTGCGGCAGTCCAAGGGGTCTCCCCGTAGTAAGACGGAACATTGGCAAGGATTTTGAGGAGGGGACTCGGGACAGAAGTGTGTGTTGCAGCATCGTTTGTGCTTCCTGGATTTACTCGGGTCGTCCTTCTTCTCATCCCTCCTCCTTTCTCTCCTCCGTCATCCTTTCCTTCCTTTCCCTTCTCCTCCTCTTCGTCCTGCTCCTCCTCCTCCTCCTCCTCAGGTCAGAGGGCGTCCAAAAGGCTGAGCCCTTGATTCTCGGTCCTCCTTGTCCTCCCTCCTCCTTGTGATCTGTCTGGATTGATCGCGGGCATCTTCCTTGTGAGAGCGTTGTAGAAGACTATCGGCCTAGCATAAGGGGTGATCTTTACATGTGCATTTATGTACGTGTACAAGTTTGTATAGACAGAGAGAGAGAGAGAGAGAGAGCGAGAGAGAGAGAGAGAGAGAGGGAGAGGGAGAGAGGGAGAGAGGTAGAAGCCTATAGCGGCAGGAGGGAGAGAAGAGAGGAGAGGAAGGCAACAGGAATCAACCTCCTCTCCCGCCTTCCTCCCTCGCCCTCCTCCATGCCACGCCGAGGGATGTACGTGGCTCGGCTCCCTCCTTGGATGCGGACTCCGCTGGGCTGCTGGGCCTTTCGGGCGTGCGCGAGACACGAGGCCAGGCCGCGAGCGCACGCGCGGGCGATTGCGGCGGTGACGCCAATGTTGGCGATGACGGCGGCGGTGGTGACGGCGAAGATGGCGACTGCAACTTTGACGACGATGCTGACGCCGACGGTGACAACGGTGGCGACAGCGACGGTGAAGACGACGGTGGTGACGACGGTGGCGGCTATGACGACGATGCTGACGACGATGGCGACGAAGATGGCGACGACGA